TGAGCTAAACTGATTTGCTCCAATTAACATTTCTATACAGGGTGTCCTTTTGAGTTGTCTGAATTTCTCTTGAACCATTGGCGCTATCGAAAGGAAAAAAAAAATATTTTTTAGTGTAGTTTCAAGGTTTTATCTTTTTTGGAAAAAAAATTTATACAGGGTATCTCAGGCCCAGTTCAATTTCAAATACGACCCTGTACATGCTGACAAATCGTTTTAAAGGAATTTATACGCTGAAAGCAATTGGATTTTAAATTGGCAAAACAATGATAAAGTTATGGTAAAAAGTTTGGATAAAGAACTGTTATTTGCTTGGCTGTTTATTAATCACATTTGTGTGGTGATTAGTGACCGTTAATCGATATTTATGTGCAAATCGTGAGATGCGGTCTGGTGTGATGTAGGTTTCAGAAAAACATTTTCTTTATCGTTCCAACGTTTCGATGTCTATTGAGATCATCTTCAGGGCCTGGGATTTACAAACATTGTTTATATATTACAATTACATTTTGGTATTGGAAAAGTGAATTTATAAAATGCAAAATATATTTTTTTTATATATTCAATCAAAGTATTTCTACTCACTCAAAGTGTTTGTCTTCTGTGTAATTGTGCCATTCTTGCGTGTCGTGTGGAGAGTGCCAGTGAGATTTTGCTATTTTGTGTTTATATACGTTGGATTTTGAAGGGGTGGGGAAGGATGTCGGTATAGAAAAGACATTTTTCTATACGGCGTCGGCTTCTTTGAGGTAATAACACTAATACTACATTAAGTATTCGTGTGTCGCATCTATTAGTACATTTCAGTTGTTTTCTAAAGTCCAGTACATTAGGCATAACGAACATACTACATTAAGTCTATCGAATACAAACAAACCAACATACATTTCCATACCATTTATCCAAGGCCTATCACATAAATTAAACAAATTTCTCTTGTCCGATAACTTCAAAATAGCTTTCAAAAATTATAAAACAATACAAACACTTTTTCCAAAATTAAAGATCCCACATCAATAACAAATAAATCTGACGTAATCTACAAGATCAACTGTTTAAACTGTCCGGCAACTTACATCGGTCTTACATCCCAATATCTGGACAAGAGAGTAAAGCAACATATATATGATTGCAAAAAACCTAAGCAAAATCCTACAGCACTCGCTACCCACCATCTTGAACACCAACACAATTTCGACTTCAAAAATCCAAAAGTATTACACACAGAACAAAACAAACATAAACGTAATTTCTTAGAAATGGTTTATATCAACAGAGATAAACACAGTATCAATTACAGAACAGATACATGCAAAACCAGTCGCAGCTACGCCAATATCATTAATCAAATTCAATACAGATAACATACCAATATCATCACATTACATTCCACACATCAAATATTTTTCACATAGTCTAATTTCCTCCCAACAATTTAGCTTTCCTTTTCCTATTTTATCCCTTTCTATATAATCCTGAAAGGATAATCTGACCAAAACATTGCCAACGCTTTTTTCCCTTCGTCGGCTCTTTTCACCTCAAAGAAGTCGACGCCGTATAGAAAAATGTCTCTTCTATACCGACATCCTTCCCCACCCCTTCAAAATCCAACGTATATAAACACAAAATACCAAAATCTCAAAGGCACTCTCGACACGACACGCAAGAATGGCACAATTACACAGAAGACAAACACTTCGAGTGAGTAGAAATACTTTGATTGAATATATAAAAAAAATATATTTTGCATTTTATAAATTCACTTTTCCACATCCTAAATATATTTGTTAAATGTAAACAATGTTTGTAAATCCCAGGCCCTGAAGATGATCTCAATAAAGATCGAAACGTTGGCACGGTAAAGAAAATGTTTTTCTGAAACCTACAGACCGCATCTCACGATTTCTACATAAATATTAATCACATTATTATGTTCGGACTGCCTGCATTGCGTAAAAATCTAAATGTGCACTTTTTCACCACTCTTCACCGGTGCTCAGAGCTATAGAGCCAGGGCAGATGGATTGACAAGCATGTTCTATCTTTTGCCTCAGTTTTTCAATTTTTCAATCGGGGTTGAAAAGTTTGATTTTTTTTTGTTTTTTTAATAGTCAAGTGGAATTAAATCATGTGATCGAGGATACGAATAGTTGGGGTATGAGATCCTATCCACCTATCCCGGAAGTGACGGTTAAAATTATTATTCAAAGCAAATGGATCATCACCTGCAAACAAATGTGTGCGGGACATCCATCAAGCTGGAGAATCGTTCTTTTCCATTGTTGCAGAGGAACATCGTCTAATAGTGATGGTAAAACCTCCCTCAAAAAATTGAGCAACTGAGCACCATTTAAATTATTTTCGTAAAAATAAAGCCCAAGTAATTTATTTCCGAGTCCTCCACACCAAACGTTGATTCTGTGAACCACCTGATGATGACAACAGTACGAAAATTGGATTCAACAGTCCATAGGATGTATGGAAGATCGTTTTTTTCAGCCTCCCAAATCGGCATTTGTTCAAGGAACGTTAGACGACTGTCATAATCAGAGTCCCGAAGCCCCTGAACAAGATGAGAGCTGTACGGCTTAAAATTGCAAGCCCGGAGTACGTTTCTAATTTTATTTTTTGAAAAACCTAAAAGCCTTCCAAAGTTCGGTAAGTGGAATTCGGATTTTTGCTAACAAATATTAAAATATTCAGCTCCTCGTCGAAATTAAGCTGCCGGTTTCTTTTTGCCATAACTTTGTCTTTTTGTTTGACTAATTTAAAATCCGATTGCACCATTGTTTTCAGCGTAAAAAATCCTATAAAATGATCTGTCAGGATGTATACGGTCGTATTTGATATTTAGAAATTGAACGAGGCCTGGGTACCCGTATAATTTTTCTCCAAAAAAAAAGATAAAAATTTGAATCTAGACTACAAAATATTAAACACTTTTTTTCTTTGTTTGATAGCGTCATTGGTTGAAGAGAGATTTAGCCGGGCCATCTAAAAAGGACACACTTTATAAGGAAACAATTTTAAAAAAATTCAGCGCAAATCTAAAACAAAATTCACAATTTCAGCATAACTTGTATAAAAATCAAATATCACTCAATGACTATTCCAGTACTTCGTGATAAGAAGTCAAAAATAACAATTCCATGTTTTTTGTCCCACCAAATTAAGTGAAAAAAAATCCATGTAATTCCATCTATCCTTTATTCTTGCCATTTGAATTACCGTCTTATAAGCTGTTAAAAGTTGTTAAATACTAAAGGCTGGAGTAGGGTAGTGATCGAGCATTAGCTATCTATTTAAATTCAGATACGAACATTGCGAGACTTTACGGACCCCATAGAAACATTGGGTATTATACGCTGCAAGATCATCAATCAATTTCAGAAGGAAACAACGAATATTATAAAATTATTTTAAATGTTTTAAAATATTATAGAATTATTTTTTCTGATTTTTAACGCGTATTTTTCAAACTGCAGCCCTTTGAGCGTCTCGATCTGGTTACTTACCACTTTAGGTCAAAAGAATTGTTGGTTAATTTTTTGTCTGATCTAAGAAATACGTATTTTCAGTAAATTAACACAATCGCTTCTAAACAGATTTAGAAATTCTTAAAAAGCAAAAATCTAAATCCAAGGCTGACCCGTACTTCCGAATCATTCAAGGGTCGGCGCCTTATCCTAGTGAACTTATTCTTGCAGGTGTTCCACAGGGTAACATTCTACCCCCTACACTTTACCAGTGTACATAGCTTACACTATGCGCCAATCGTCAAACCATCACCCTGGCCGTGAAGACGATAGAGGGGTCTTCTCAAGTAATTGATCTGTCGTTTCACCTCGAAACCTTCAATACTGTTCAAGTCTTGGAGCAAAAAGAAAATCAAATTTATTGGCAAACCAGAGAAAACCCTTTTTTTCTGAAGATGAAGCAATCTGGATGTTGCGAGATAGCGGCGACGACCGGTTATGCCTGTCTAAATTCTGCAAAGCTGCCGGAGATACAGGAAGTATCTCAGAAATGAATTTTATTTTTGAAAGTGGAAAAAAGAAAGAATTTTTATTTGATTATTTTTGTTGCTGCCAAAACTCTGGCTGATTTAACTAACATGTCATATTAAGTTTTTAACATTATTTTATAAAATTTACAAATGCTTTTTTACAGAACTTCTGTTTGTCTTTTGTCTTGTCAATTGAGAATCAGAATTTGTACAAGACTTTTTAGCCCAATTTGACATGTAAGATAATTATAAGATCTGTTCACAGAACAATATTGTTTAAATTATATAGGTTCTTCATTAGATAATCAAATGATATGCCTATTTTATTATGTACAGTTGAAAAGATTAATAATAAACAGTCCAGCTGTTAATTGTTCGATTCAAGCGCAAAGCATGATATATTAAACCAAAAGTAGACTTTTTCGATCACGGGGAATATTCATAATTCGGTGATATTGAAAAAATAAAAAACCTAAAGTATGGTATTAACGAGTTCTCTAAGACCTAGTTAGAAATAAAAAAAATTAATTTAGTAAATATAAGCCCCTAAAAACTTTGTCTGCAGGCAATGAATGGTCAAAACTACGTAATTTCAAAAGTTAAGGGTTTTCTAAAGTTCTGTCTCGGTATCATTGAAGTTTATTTTTATCACAATTAATTAAGGTTTTTAGTTGAGATAAAAAAAAGTCAATGGCACGAGCGGGATTCGAACCCATGATCTTCGGCTAGATACGCCGCTGCTCGACCACTTGAGCTATCGTGACCTCGATCCTCTCAGACACTAACTTCCTATCTCAACCCCACCTTTTTGAATTTTCCCTCCTTTTTGCCATTTTTCAATGCCATTATCTCAACTAAAAACCTTAATTAATTGAAACATATTAATTGGTCAAGTGGACCACGAAATTAGTGAATTTGTTTTTATTGTATTCCATGTGCTATCATAATTAATTTTTAGAATATAAAAACATTTTTTGATTTTTGTCAAAACGGTGTTTTTTTTGCTTTTAAAAAATCAAATTGGAACTTACGTATTTAATTTTGTTATCGGGTATTATGTTTAGTGAAAGCAAGTTGATTTGTCTATGATAAGAAAAAACATGCAGTCAAAATTTATTATAATGAGACAGAAGTTATAATATTCCAAAGGAAGTAAAATTTAAAAACATATGCCGTTGGGAACTTTTGTGATATAGCAGCTGAATAGACTCTCTTGGAAAATTCCAAATGTTCCAAAAAGACGACTGAAACGTAGTAGTTGGATCCATCAATTGTGACAGTATCTGTGACGAGCCCGAGGAAACTGTCTTGTTCGCAGATGAGAGCCGACCCTTTATCCACATTCTCCGCCGACTCAAAGCACATCAGATAGTTCTGCGAGTATCTCCTGAAAACGTCGCAGTCGTGCGCACCTGAAGTGCAAGTTTTGCAGATGCAATTGCCGACATTTGTCAAAGAGATGCCCGTCCTGTGCAGTTCATCTTTGTACGTCAGTGTCGCCAGGTGGCAGCTAGCCAAGGAATAGTCCAACAAACGTTTCCGCAACTCGTTCGAGACCAGTTTGACGAACGATCTTTCAGGCACCACCCGTACGGTCAGGTCGAGATAGCAATAGTTGTGGATGTAACAGTGCGAGTCGCGAAGCACCGTGAATCTACGTGACGGGTATATTTCTTTAATTCCCACATCGCCTTTTCTTGTCAATATGTACAGGGTGCCGAGAGGATCTTGGTCAGACGTGGCCTTTTTCAACAAACCCAAAATGCAAGAGTAGACGGAAACTAGAAATTCTGCGTTTACCAATACGGAAAGGCAGCCTCCACTGCTTTTGGATCTCACCTCTACCATAAAATCGCTTGGCCTGTAGTCGTCTCTTGCTCTCGACAAATGAGAGAATACTAAAATGCAAACAAAGAAAATAAATACCATACTTTGAAAAAACCGAGTCAAATTATTGGCATATGTTTTATTACTATTAATCAAAAACAAATATATTTATAAAACAAAAAAAATTAAAATAGTAAGCTCAACACGGAACAACAAAAGAATATTGAAAATAAGATTTAATGAGTTCTCACATATTTTAGCTAAAATGTTTTATTATTATTAATAAATAAAAAAAACATATTTATAAAAGAAAAAAGATTAACATTAAGCAAGAAAAAATTTACACTGACAGGCAAACAATTCCAGCCAATTGATTTTTTTTTTCATTTTCTCGATAAAAGAAAATTCTGCTCTTGAATTGTCTCATTGTTGTTATCAATAAATATTTGTTTATGCTATGTTTTAAATTGAGAATATCAATTAGCGGTAAACACACTTAATCGTTAATCTAAAACAAAGATAAAGGATTTTTCAATGTTTACTTTTTATGGAATTTAAAATTCAATATTTCAGTAAATATTCAGTCCCATTTGAATTCTGAAGCAATAAACGGTTTAGTTTTCATCTTTCTCTTACTTTCAATTTTTAAACTTAAAAATACCACTAAGTGCATGTTGCGCGTGGTGTGGCACTTATTGATGATGGATTCCGTCAGGTATGCGGCTACTGCCATCGGAGTTGACTACGAAACTCTGCGAGACGCCGTTAGACGTATTCGAGAAGCTGGGTCCTACCACAGAAGGCCCAATTCTTGACATCCTGGGGTAACCACAGGATGGGCGTTTTTTGACTTTGAGAATTTTACGAAACCGGCACCTTACTGTTGTTCAAGCGATTCATCAGCTCCAGGACGTTCGAGGTGTCCAGATTTTTGAACGCACTGCTCGCAGAAGATTAAATCGGTATGGACGGATAGCTTTTCGCCCGTAAGAGGAATTGACCAGAATACACAGAGTTGCACGGCTGGCATTGCTCGAGACACAGCCATTGGTCTTTGGACGATTGGTCTTCTGTACTTTTTAAAAGCGAATGAAAGGTACGGAGCTTGTAATTTTTCCCAGATCCAACCTTTTCAACGTAGCTCAGTGATGGTGTGGGAGGGAATTTCAATGGAGAGTCGCCCAGAGTTGGTTCTTGTGTCGTAGAGGATCTTTGACGGCCACTCGCTATGTGGATGAAATATTGCAACACCATGCGTTGCCTATCCTCGATGAAATCAGGGATAATCCTATTCTAATGCCCGTCCACACGTCGCTCGCATAGTACAAACGCACCTTCAACAGCATAACAACAGGGTCTTAGCTTGGCCAGCCCGATCTCCAGACTTGAATCCCATCGAACATTTATGGGATAACCTCAAAAGACGAATAAGTGCACGTCCACCACTTCCTGATACACGCCACGATCTTGAAAGTTCTCTTTGTGAAAAATGGGCTAACCTCCAGCAAAGAGACATTTCCAGACTGGTAAAAAGTATGCCGAGGCGTCTTCGAGATTTATTAAAGCGATATTTAAATGTTAATTAAAAATCTACAACAAATTTTATCTGTCCGTCTTTTTATTTCATTTTCGTTAGCATATTACCTTTTTTTAAAACTTTTTTAGACAAATTCTCATTATTAAACGTTAAAAAACGTGAAACTTTGATTAATATATAAAAATATATACAAATCAAGTTATATTACAAGTGGATGGAATTTTTTGCCAGTCAGTGTAGTAAGTACAATAGGAAACAACGTAAGAATATTTAAAATAAGATTTAATTGGTTCTCACATAATATAGCTAAAATATTTGATTATTATTAATAAATAAAAATTATAATTATATAACAAAAAAACGTTAACACTAAGTTAAAAAAATAGTAAGTACAACACGAAACAACATAAGACTATTTAAAATAAGATTTAATGGGTTCTCACCAAATTTACTAAACTGTTTTGAGAATTGTAAAAATAAAAAATTCATTAAATAGAATAATTTTTAACATCCATCTTTCATTCAATAAAAAAAACAGTTACCTATAATAACACAAAAAATTAAATGATATAAGTTAAAAAATGATTGTTATTAAACAGATGCAGGATGGATCTATTTATCCATCTAGGATCTATAAATAAATAATTGAATTGAAATAGATAATGGTTGTTCAGAAATCGTGAGATGCGGTCTGGTGTGATGTGGGTTTCAACACGACACGCAAGAATGGCACACTTACACAGAAGACAAACAATTAGAGCCCTGAAGATGATCTCAATAAAGATCGAAACGTTGGCACGATAAAGAAAATTGCATTGCAAATGCCCGAATAAGTTTTTTTGAATGAGTTTTGGAAAGAAAAATAATTGTTACGCTATATAGTTAACACTTTAAACATAGATATTTGCATAAATTTTCGACTATTCGTCTTGATTTTTTTTTTATTCCTCTTTAAAAATATCTAATTTTGTAAACGAAAAAGAAAATAGGGCAAACTATTTGAGATTAAAGAGTTAAGTTATGATTTTGATAGTACCGTGTATACAAATTAAATTAATTGATTGAATATATAAAAAAAATATATTTTTTGCATTGTATAAATTCACTTTTTTCCACGTCCTACATATTGTTGTTAAATTTAACAATGTTTGGAAATCCCAGGCCCTGAAGATGATCTCAATAAAGATCGAAACGTTGGCACGATAAAGAAAATTGCATTGCAAATGCCCGAATAAGTTTTTTGAATGAGTTTTGGAAAGAAAAATAATAGTTACTCTATATAGTTAACACTTTAAACATAGATATTTGCATAAATTTTCAACTATTCGTCTTGATTTTTTTTTATTCCTCTTTAAAAATATCTAATTTTGTAAACGAAAAAGAAAATAGGGCATACTATTTGAGATTAAAGAGTTAAGTTATGATTTTGATAGTACCCTGTATACAAATTAAATTAATTGATTGAATATATAAAAAAAATATATTTTTTGCATTGTATAAATTCACTTTTTTCCACATCCTACATATTGTTGTTAAATTTAACAATGTTTGGAAATCCCAGGCCCTGAAGATGATCTCAATAAAGATCGAAACGTTGGCACGATAAAGAAAATTGCATTGCAAATGCCCGAATAAGTTTTTTGAATGAGTTTTGGAAAGAAAAATAATAGTTACTCTATATAGTTAACACTTTAAACATAGATATTTGCATAAATTTTCAACTATTCGTCTTGATTTTTTTTTATTCCTCTTTAAAAATATCTAATTTTGTAAACGAAAAAGAAAANTACCAACACGTTGGGAGAAATGTATTGAGAGTATGGGAAATTATTTTGATTAAAGAACATTGCTTTAAAGTAACTAGTTTCTTTTTTTTTGTTTAATACCAAAATCCTGCATTATTTTCCGGACAACCAATATATTGATAGACAGGTACATATATAAACTGTTTTATATATTCGTAAATTGTAAATAGATGAATCTTATAAATACATAAAAATGAGAAAGTACGTGTTAAGTTCATGTTAAAGGCAAAATAAATCGAATTGCTTGGGGCTTAATGGTACCCCTACTCTGGACATCTGGTTCTGGTATATTGCATCCCAAACGCAGACAAAAAAGTACAAAGAGTACAGATTTTCCAAAATCAAGTTCTACGCTTAATAACAGGTGTTCCGTACTAGTTGAAGACATAATTAAAAAACCTACCATCGCGTCCATACTGGAATACAAGAGATGCTGCCAGCAATCTACACCCTACATGTGAAAGAGTGGTCCATTACAGCTCAACACTGAAATTGGTTGGTTCTAAACCCCAGAAATTGCTTTATGGGTATAAAGAAAAAAATATATAAATAATGCCTATATGTACATAACAAAAATTATACTGTTGCTAAAGAGAATGAGAAGAATCAACGTAGATGCCATAAACAACAATTCAGTTGGATCTAGTTTGGATCGAGAGTGAATAATAATAGGGATCGTCTAATTTAATGGAAGTTATATTAATATGATCAATACAGCTCAGTGGATGTTGTTTTTTCTTTTTTAAAGATTACTGAAGTTTGTCCGAAGTGGATAATCGTGCTTCTTCAAACGTTTAGAACAGGTTTTTGACGAACGCACCGGCCAATATTATTCCGGCATCCTCGAAAGGTTTAGCTTTAGGCTTAATCGTTCAGAGCAGGTGTCTCTGAATCACACTCGCGGTGCTTGCACAGATTATCTCGCAGTTTTTTTAAACATATTGTACACCCCCGGGGGAAAATAATAAATTTGGTTCTCGCAGAAGGTCGCCTTTTGTTCGTCCAATGAGTCAAGGAACAAAAGGAAAGGCGTTGGTCCTTATCTCCTATAAGGATTTTATCGCTTCCCCCCAGGGGCTGATATAAGACCGGACATTCGTCTTCTTGACCCGAGAAAACGCGATGACGGCGTGTCGATGAAAGGAAAAAATGAGCCACTTCCCGTCCGAGAGACTGTCACTTCCTCTGGCCTTCATGTCGATAATAAAAAAAATTCTAAATATAAATTTCAATGTAACTGCTACTGTCATGGAGTGTGGGAACCACTGCGCACCGTTATACAAGATGCCTTGTACTGCACAAGGTGCCTCAGAGTTATTGCGCCGCGTTCTAACAAAGAAGTTGCAAAGTTAGTTGAAAAGAAGTTGTTTTTCTTAACTTTCGAATCAAATTAAAATTAGTTCTTTGACACCCAATTTATTATACCTATTTAAACTTTTTAATTAACTACCTTGTTTTGGCTTCTTTCAGATCAAAATATTTCTTGCATTTAGACTTAGAAACACAATATCATTAAAAGACCAAGTCCGCTGAATTAAAAAAGAAAATAATTGACTTTTTATGATCTGTATAGAAAGTCTCCTAGCAAGTTAAACATTATTTGATTAATTAACAGTGTTTAAATAATTTTCATACACATAATATGTCAAGAAATGTCAGATTTATTTTACAATTAGGGAGTGAAAGAGCAAAAAGGAGTGAGAGAAAACAAGCTGGATAAAAGAGATTAAGGTAGATAAAGATAAATACGGAATAGAGAGAAGAGAGAGAGAGAGAGAGAGAGAGAGAGAGAGAGAGAGAGAGGAAGAGAGAAATTTAAATAAAAGAAGTAGAATAAGAAGAAAAAGTCAAATACCACACAAAAAACATAAAAAAGAGAGAACATAAAAATATCGATAGAAAAAAAGAAATAAAGAAAGAGAGAGAGAGAGAGAGAGAGAGAGAGAGATAGATAGAGAGAGAGAGAGGAAGAGAGAAATTTAAATAAAAGAAGCAGAATAAGAAGAAAAAGTCAAATACCACACAAAAAACATAAAAAAGAGGGAACATAAAAAGATTGATAGAAAAGAGAGAGAGAGAGAGAGAGAGAGAGAGAGAGAGAGAGAGAGAGAAGAAAGAGGGAGAGAAAAGGTGAGTGAATGAGTGAGAGAGAGAAAGAGAGAAATTGAAATAAAGAAGCATAAGAAGAAGGAAATATTAAATACTACAAAAAAAACATAAAGAAAAGAAATAGAAAGAGAGAGAGAGGAGAGAGATTGGTAAGAAGTAGAACCTTTAATAAATCTTGTTACCCCTACATCATTATTTTTTAAATATTTTTTTAATAGTTTTACTACTGATACATATTATACTGGAGACCATAGTTGAAGAATAGATAGATATTAGAGGACTTCTAAAAATAAGATCGGAAGACTACTTGAAGTTTCCAAAGAGCAGTGAGTAAGTAGAAGTCACAAAGATTAGGATAGGAAAAACTGGTCAACTTTTCAATATTTATTATGTTACTTAATTTTTGTACATATTTGAAATGAACGGGCAAATATATTTATTTATCTATTATATTTGGAAAGCAATGTAAAGTTAATATTATGTGAGTGTATGTGTGTTTGTGTGTACTTTGTTTATTTTGAATCATGCTTAATCTGCATCCAACCTTTCGCCTGTATGGCTTAGGAATTTTTTTAAAAGAAAATAAGTCTAGTTTAGAACAAACTTCCAGCAATGACTCGTGAACCTTTTTCATGCAGAAGCCAAATTAATTATTACCTAGAGAACTTAGTTACCAGCAAACTCATTGAATTATCTTTTGATGAAATCTGCTGTTTTAAATATTTTATAGAATACAATTATAATTATATATAGAATCGTGCTGTTTAAAACGGTTTATCGTTTTTTCAACAAAATATTTGTATAAACAATAAAGTTGTCTTTAATTGTTTGACTGTTTTTGAGGAGTCAGAAAAGTTTGTAAATTAAAACAAGTTACAAGGAGAAAAAACGAGAAATCCATTCTATTCATTTGGTAAATCGAACTAAATAAACAAAAATGAAAACAAATACATTTTGATAGTTTTTCACAACTGGCATCATTTCTTTATATGCCCCACCTCTAGGTTTGCTATGTTGGTAAAATCTCAACGTACTTCTTTTATGTACAATAGTTTAAATCTATTAATTTCCTTGTTGTTTTCAGGTTATCCAGAATGCGGGCCATTTTGAAGGCAGGTGTTGAAAACGGATGGAGAATCAGAACCCGCAATTATACCCGATGCCCGCCCATTCCACCTAAAACACTTCGGTCGACAAAAACCTGTAAAAACCAACACGTTCCGTGTTTGGCTAACCTATTTATTAAAGGGGCCGGTGGTGAGGGTAAAAATGCAATTACAAAAGGCCGGACCGACGTAAAATTCAAATAATATCGACAGGATTTATGGGCCTTTTATAAACACAAGGGTTCCGAGGAGTAAAAAAATAATATCTTTACGCCTTCCAGGATCCAGCGTCAAACACCTCTGTTTTCGAAATTAAGGGCTTCGGAATGAAGGATGAGAGCATTATACAAACATAAGTGATGAGTTGATCACCTCTTTCTCATGTCCAGTCTTCACACCTGTCCTTCATACCTGAAAGCTAGCCCTTAATTAGATATTTATGCTACAAAGTATTCGGAGAATTCCGACAATTATCATTAACATTCTACTTTTTTAAATTTTCAACAGATAAAAATAAAACAGAATAGACTAGTGTTGACTAATTTTAAAGTCAAAATAACTAACAGCCAAGGTCCGCCTCCCGAATTACTTCATTTCACTGTCATCCTACAATTGACCAACTAACCTTTTAAAAATCACATAAAAACTACTGCTTTTTGTAGATCACAAAAATATTCATGCTATTTTGCATTAGGTTTGCGATTAAACAAGGTGCGGATCAGAAATTATCATTATTACTGACTATTTCAAAATAACGTTCTTTAAGGTTTTATAGTCTTTTCCTATGTAAGTTTACCTCCCAATATTTTTTATATGATTGATTGATAAATAAATTTCAATTAAATATTCGTTAAAGTTGGTGTGTTAATTTATTTCAATCAACTTTCACAAGTTAGTATAATTTTCGAGAAAACACCTTCAACGGAAAAATTATCACCATTATTCCAGTTTTCGAAATAAATTAACATATTATTTCCTGTCAGAAATTTTGTTTATTCAGGTATAAATTAATAGTAATTTTAACTCAATGGACATTTATTATTTATTGAATAATTTGTTGTTTTTTCCGTTCAATTTTTTTTACGAGGGTTCGCAACAACATAGCTTACATCAACCCTCGGGGTGCCGGTGTTTTTGAAAAAAATTCCATTTCTAATTGAATGCAAGGGCGCCGGATTCGAACCCGGGACCGTTATTTTACAGTGATGATCGGCCACCCCATCCCTATTCAAATGTTCAGATGTTCTTCATTAATACATTAATTTAATTACTTGCGTTTTTAATATAGATTATTGTATTTGCGTGTTACAATTACTGTAATATAAACATTACAAAACTTAATAACAAATTACTTTGAAAAGTCATATAACACTCCGTATGAAAAAAACCTAGTCTGGAATCGTCACAATTTTGCTGCCAAATTTTCACAACCCTGGTGTCCAACTGGATTTTTTTGCATTTTTACAATTTATCGTTAATCACATTAAGCAAATAGCATAATATATTAATATGTTAACCTATGTCTTTTGAGATGAATAATTACAAAGCTTATTACTTTTCATCCTTACGTTATGTTGTTTATCATTACTATTTTTTCAAATTATCAGTGTTTCGAGTTTTTCATAAAAAATAATTTCATTAATTAATTTTTGGTAGTATTTTCGAATAATGCCAGTTATTTGAATTTTTACGTTAATTAACATGTATTTTCATAGATTCAATTATCACCAAAATTAGTTTAGATAATTACCAACCATTTTTGATCAAAATCAAGAATTCCTAGCAAAACTACTTTAAATAGTAACCCCGCTTAAGTTTGAACGTAGAAATAAAATAATTAATTAATAATTGTGTACAGGGTAATAATAAAATAATACCCAACTCTTTATTTTCATTTGTAGGCCATATTTTTTTCTTAAGTTTCAGTTTAGAAGTTTGGTTGTTTAAAGTTTTACCTCAGGGTGTTCGGATTTTTCTTGCTTTACGAAAACTTAAAAAATGTTATTCAATCGTGTTTTCGCTGTGAAATTTTTATTATTCATCACCGTTGCTCTTGTGCCAGTTTTGAAATATTCTCGGCTACTGGAATCTCTGAGTATACACTTTTGCCGTTTTACATCCTGCCATCCACTATTCAGCATTCGCGTCATACATGATGACTTTTTCTTCAATTTTAAATCTCCTAAATAAAAAAAATTGAAAAGATATAAAATAAACTTAGAGAAATGTAACTTCAATGTACAATAAAAGCCAGATGCAAAAAGTAAACTGGGCAATAATTATTGCAATTAAAGAGATAAACATGATAATTATGCAAACATCTTAAAATTGCATTGCAAATGCCCGAATAAGTTTTTTTGAATGAGTTTTGCAAAGAAAAATAATAGTTACGCTATATAGTTATCACATTAAACATAGATATTTGCATACATTTTCAACTATACGTCTTGATTTTTTTTATTCCTCTTTAAAAATATCTAATTTTGTAAACGAAAAAGAAAATAGGGCATATTATCTGAGATTAAAGAGTTAAGTTATGATTTTGATAGTACCCTGTATACAAATTAAATTAATTGATTGAATATATAAAAAAATATATTTTTTGAATGGTATAAATTCACTTTTTTCCACATCCTACATGTTTTTTTTTAATTTAAACAATGTAAATCCCAGGCCCTGAAGATGATCTCAATAAAGATCGAAACGTTGGCACGATAAAGAAAACGTTTGTTTGAAACCTACCAGACCGCATCTCACGATTTCTTAATAACACAAATTAAAGTTTATATATTCAATTTCTTCGCTAAAAATGAAAGAAGGTTCCTATTTTAAACTACTCATTCTTAGTTTTGTTAAAAACAGTGTAAATTTATGTTTCCAGCGGAATTAATTTTTTTTTTACATTTATCCATTTAATTTTTTTTTAATTAAGTATATTTATTGTTTATTTACGGCCCATGTACTCGAATAAAACATAATTTTATCATTTATCATTATTCAACTTATTTTATAATTTACACTATTGTTCATTAATAAATTAATTGAATCGTTGACTTGCCTTTTGTAGATCTGCCCTGATCCCTGTGGAACTAGGCGGCCTTCCTCCGGTCTTGAACCCGTCCACCTTAATATATATATACAATAAATAATAAAAAAATCAATAAATAAAAATAAACTAATAATAATAATTAAAATGGCAATAAAAGAACAATTAAATAATAAAAGAAGCCCACGGGCGATAATAAAATAAAAATATTTTTCGCACACAAAAAATTTCATAGATCTATGATAGTTGTTTATTTCCAGATGCTATTCTCGTGCTATTCGCGTTTGAAAAATAGAATTAAACAAATTATCCTTTTTCCTTGTTTGTTTCCATATGTAGAAAATTTAAAAAAAAATAGTCATAGAAATTTAGAAAATTGCCTAAACATGCGATGTAATAAATGATTATTATGAATGATTAAATGAAAAAACGTCGTCTTTATAAAAGAAGAGTATTGATACAATCTGTAAAGAAAGCAAAAATAATATTATTATACAATAATGAATTATTATTTATTAATAATATTAACTAACTACTAATATGTTGTTATTTATGTAGATGTTAACAGTTTTTGCATTCATTATTGTATTTTTACACAGGATACACTTCCGTTAATTTGAAAAGATTTTTTTTAAATTTTACGATACAATAAGTTATGTCTTTTATTTTTTATTCCTTTTATATACTTCACTGTTGTTTATTAGTTAGTCTTTTAAAACAGGATACTTCTGACATGCAAGATACTAACGTATATGGATTTCTTTGTAAGAAAACCTATAATTTACTTCTTCTTTTGTAGCCCCTTTTCGTTTTAAATTCTTTTATATTCTGTAAAAGTACAGGCTAGCCGCCAAATCCAGGTAATAATTATTTTTCAAAGTTTCAGAGAGTTTTGGAGGAAAAAAGAATCACGTGTCAGAAATTTAAAAAGCGCCCGATGACCGGGGTCGGGGTGCGGCGTTTTCTCGAGAGCTGTTGAAAGGAGGCAGGTGGAAGTTTGTTTGCTGTCCACAAACCCGTAATTATCCCCCTCGCCTGGGTTATAATGAGAGCGGTGATTAGACCAGCTCAAATATTGACTTAAGCTCCGTCTCACACTTTAGGTGAGAAGGGAAAGGGGGCGGTGGTACCGCGGCAGACACACATCAACCTCGTTATCCTATTATCCCGGAGAGCGGACAAAAACACGGTCGAAAGACGCCTAGGGGGATAATCCCACGGGATGTGGGGCTATTAAGAAGCGGATTCGGCTGCCGAGTGCCGATTTTCATCCAGAGAGATTCGAACATCAAACAAAATCGGCCGTCTTTACTCTCAGGTGATGTCCTCCTAGGTAGCTGGCACAAAACCATCAAAGAACACACCAATTCAATTTAAAAAAAAATCCTAATGCTTTAATATTTCTTTAAACTACTGTTAAAAATCTTCATATAGCCAATGCTCAAATATCCAACTGTATGTACATTTAAATTATTTTGTACTAAATATTTCGCTGAGAAATCGTTATTGTTTATTACATTCATTAATTTAATTTAAATTTTTTGATTATATTGATATATATAATGAATATAACAACACCAGTACCCTTTTCTAAAGGGTAGGACTGACTAATAACACACAGACCTTCCACTGGTAGAATGAGAAAAAAGAATAAAGGAAAAGATTATGCTGAGCATAATGATAATAGTGAAAAACCATTATACCGATGGAACTAAAATAACAAAAGGAAATAAAGAAATAAGAAACTTCTTTAATACATTAATTGTCAATAACCAATAGATAAAAACATCAAGTGTGTATTTGTAAGTTGAAATCATTTCGTACTAAAAATTTGTTACTGGTTGATCAATTCGTTAAAAAATTCCAATGTTTTAAGGTTTTACGGTAAACTTTGATTTATAGATCAATCCCGACGAACTCATTTGTATTAAAACGAATAAAAAGGCAACTGACGAAAGATGAGATATTTTGCAGACCAAAATGATCATCATGACAAACCTATCAAGGTTTTTGTTCCTTAATCAATATTCACTAGTTTTCTTGTCCGCTTGACCAATTAATATCTATCAATTAATTAAGGTTTTTAGTTGAGATAAAAAAGTCAGCGTCATGAGCGGGATTCGAACCCCTGTTCGGCTAGATACACCGCTGCTCAACCAATAAATCAATATCGTTAACCATTAAAAATCTCACCGATAGAACTGAAATAATAAAAGGGTTTGACATAGACACTACGTTAATATATAAAATGTCAATAACTATTTAACAAAAACACCAAGTGTTTATTTGTAAATTGAAATCATTTTGCACTAAAATTTCGTTATCAATTGATCAATTCGTTAAAATAATTCCAATTTTTTTGCAGTAATCTTTGATTTATAATTATTCGGAAATCGTGAGATGCGGTCTGGTATGATGTAGGTTTCAGAAAAACTTGCAATTAATTAAGGTTTTCAGTTGAGATAAAAAAAGTTAATGGCACGAGCGGGATTCGAACCCACGATCTTCGGCTTGATACGCCGCTGCTCAACCACTTGAACTATCGTGACTTCGACCTACTCGGACACCAACTTCCCATCTCAACCACACCTTTTGAATTTTCCCTCCTTTTTGCCATTTTTATCTCAACTGAAAACCTTAATTAATTGTACGATATTAATTGTCAAGCGGACCACGAAACTAGTGAATTTCAGAAAAACATTTTTTTTATCGTGCCAACGTTTCGATCTTTATTGAGATCATCTTCAGGGCCTGGGATTTACGAACATTGTTTAAATTTAACAAATAAGTGTAGGATGTGGAAAAAAGTGAATTTAAACAATGCAAAAAAAATATTTTTTATATTCAATCAAATTGATTTATAGACCAATCCCGACACAATCTTTCATTTGTATTAAAATAAATAATCAAGGTTTTTTGCTACTTACTCAAGAGAATTTTTTTTTAGAATTAGATAATATAAATTTTTTTAAATTTCTTATTTTTACAACCAAACCTATTTTTTGTATGCAAAATGTGAATAAACCTAAATACATCAAAATTTTAGTCTGCTGTGTTAATTTTGTCCATCAGTGTATGTACATATTTATACATACCGATACACTGTTATATTCTGATCAGTGATTTACTCTTATCATTGAAAACAAGTGTATTTAACCATCTAAAATATGACTGTGCCTGTGACATAAAATTTGGGACATTTATTTTATAATAAAACCTTTCATGATTAGAAATGCTAAATTATTTAATACTATATTATAAATGATCTCTTAAATGAGAAGGAAATGAATACCTTTCCATCATAATTCCTGACACTGCTAATGGAAATAACTTGTATATAAGGCTTGGAAGACCTTCGGCTTTTAACAGCCCCAGTTCTTTTGTGGCACCGGCGTGCCCTTTGTGGCCTAATCCACGGAACAGGTTAACGAGAAAGAAGCCGCTGATTATCCAGGGCGAATGTAAGGCGAGAAGCTTGGCCGAAAAGCGGCAAATCCAATAACGGCACGGAAGAACGCGCACATTGACACCCGGCATCTGCCGGGGCGGCGTCTTTTGTCATGAATCCGGTTTAAACAAAATTGTCAACGGCATGGGGTTTAACTGGAATAGAATTTTTCAAAAATGACGCGCCCTGAAAGAAGAACTCCTACACATTGTCAACACTCTAGTCTAAAGAGGCGTAAAAACAGTTTTATCATAAAATTTGGGAAGACAGATTTAGACAAAACTCTAATCGTATACCAGTAGGTGAGTGCCAAAGAAAACAGGAGAAATATATAGAGAAGTAAAGAAATAGAGATAGAGATAGATAGATTGAGAGAGAGAGAAAGAGAGGGGAGTAAGAAAAAATGAGATGTGAGCAGGAGAGGATGAATGAAAAGAAGCAGAAGAATAAAAAGACAAACTACATTCCGAAAACTTAAAAAGAGGCAAAATAAAGAGTAAAAAATAAAAAGATAGATTAAGAAAAAATATAAAGAGATAAATAGAGAAAAGCGAGAGCGAGAGAAAGAGAAAGAATGTGACAGGAAGAGAGAGAAAGAGAGAGAGAGTGAGAGAGAGAGAGAGAGAGAGAGAGAGTGAGAGAGAGAGAGTGAGAGAGAGAGAGATAGAGTTAAGAAAAGAGGCAGAAGAAGAAAAACCCAAACCACACTCCAAAAACTTAGAAAGAGACAAAATAAAGTGAAAAAAAATAATTACAAAAGTAGATTAAGAAAAAATATAAAGAGATAAATAGAGAAAAGCGATAGCGAGAGANTATATATATATATATATATATATATATGTAGAGAGAGAGAGAGAAAGAGAGTGTGTGTGTGACAGAACGGGAGAGAAAGAAATAAAGTTAAGAAAAGAAGCAGAAGAAGAAAAAGCCAAACTAACACCAAAATGTTAAAAATGAGAGAACATAAAGTAGAAAGATAGATAGATAGATTAAGAAAAAAGATAAAGATGAAACAGAAAAACGAGAGAGAGCGTGAGAGAGAGAGAGAGAGAGAGAGAGAAAGTTTGACAGTATGAATGTGAATGAAAACATGACTGATTGAAGAGGCATTTTTGAATGTTTGGCTTAAAGGTGATCCAATAAAATGTCAAAAAAATTATTTCTAATATGTTCAAATGCCATAACACACTAATCGTAACGTTATCAAACTGTAAATTTTTTATTACATGAATTATGACGTTTTTATCTACATGCTTCATTCATCTTACTTTAGGGATGTCTTATTGTTATTTTAACTTGTTCTAGTATTCTCCAATACTTCGATAAGATGTCAAGGAGCTTTACTGCTTATTTTAAATATGCATGATACAATTTTTATTCTTGAGTTGTTCCTCTATAAGTGAACGGCAATCAACGATAAATAAAACTACTCGATGACCAAATGATTTTTTAAAAAGTTACTGCATTGCAAATGAAGTCCCTAAGATTCGAACAGTTATTGCAAAGAAACTGAAGAGATAACTTTAAACAATTGACTTGAAACAGCAAACTGCTTTGCAAACCACAGACCGTCCAGTATCATTTATCTTATATTTCTGACAAGTTGAAGTTAATCGACTTGTATGTTTATCT